TTTTTTTTATAAATGAATCTCGTCGAATTTTTACGAGGGCAAAAATATAATATTGAAAAGTATTAATCAAAGTGTACTTAAAAAGTTATTTAAAAAAAAAAACTTGTCGACATAATTGCCTCAGACACCAAAATGCGAGACCAAACGCAAATCTAGTTATATACTACGTTCGATTGTATAAAAGTATTTACTAGTGTTCGTACGTTTATGTATTTTGATGTCATTATATATAATATATACGAATTTATATATTTAATTATATATATATATTCTTCATTCGTATATAACGTGCGTAAAACGTAGTTACAAATAATCAATTTATTCGGTATATTAATTATTCCGATATTTCTTAAGTTTTCACAATTATATTTTTTTTTTTTTTTTAAACACTCTGTATTTCTATTTACATTAAAAAAAAAAATAAAAAAAAATAAAAAAAAAATACGACAACAGTTTATTAATTTTTCTCTTTTTAAACAAAGTTAAGACTTATGCTTACTGTTAAAGAACATTATTCAAATAATTATGTATTCATATTATCAATCAATGAGATATTATAAACAAACAATTATGGAAAAATGTACACACAATCCGTTTTAAATTAATCTTTCTTAGAAAGTTGCATTTCCGTGTGACAAGGGTTCAAATTGAGATTGAATCTGGAAACCTTGGGGGATATTTGTTTATTTCGAACCATATGAGCCTCTGGGAGCATAAAAATTCAAAAATACCCAAAATAAGGATCACCCTCTAATATTTGTAATAATAGTAATTAATAATAATAATAATAGTTTATTGTAGTGTAATTCGTCTACACTCTTAAATACCATTTTAACATGTTAAGCGACACGTCAGTCATGTATGACTGACACTAGATATTACGTTTAGGCCACGTCAGTCACAAGTGACTGACACGTTCAATTATTTTTCTCAATACAAAGTAACCTGTGGCCTGACACGAATTTCCCTAAGAATTCGCGTGGCGCTCAATTTAGTCGACACCATCTTCCTTCCTCTCTCTCTCTCTCTCTTAAAAAAAAAAAAAAAATTTTTTTTTATCAATATCACGCGAATTCGATGATTATGATAACATATGGAAGAGGATAATATTGCATAAGTAAGGTGACCTTGATAGTTCTTTCGTGTATACGATGTGTATGTGCGTGCATATGTGTAATTGGCAGTGTTTATGTAAGTAAATACATACACGTAAATATTGATAATAATTTTGACGAACAATATAATATACTTATTTTAACAAGCACTGGCATATTTATAACATAACATATAGATAACATTATACAAAGAAAAAATTAAAAATAAAATTACAATTAAGAAAAAAAAAAAAAAAAAAAGAAAGGACATTATTATCTTAAGCGTCGGGCAAGAGAAAAGTGCATTTATAAATATAAAATTATTTAGTCGTGTGCATGTAATAAACGATATTATAATTAATTACACGCTATGTTTATAAAAAAAAAAAAGAAAAAGAACCGAAACTCTTCTTCTCCTATTTTTTAAAATTTTTTTTTTTATTTTAATTGTTTTCTCGATTAAATCTTAACACTGTTATATTTTCAATATTTTCATTAATTACGTTGACAAAAGTTTGACGAATATTTATTTATATTATTAAGATCGTCGTTGATCTAGTTTATATTAATTCAATACTGAACGAAGTAATTAAATAATCTTATTATTATTATTATTATTATTATTATTACTATTATTACGTACGCTAATTTCCTTTACTTTTTTTTCTTCTTTTAATTATTATTATATTTTATTATAATATATAGGAATATGTTATGAGTTTGCGTGCACGAATCATTTTTTTTTCTACACGCGGTCAATTAATTATTTAAAAATAATAAAATTTCATTTTTCTTAATTATTGTTAATACAATAACATTTGCTTATACTTTAGGTTTTCTCAAATTTGTCTATTCGGCAAACCCCCTTTACTATTTTTTCACTATCATTAATTAACTGACATACTATACAACAATTTTGCAGTTTTGCTCAAATTATTACGCATAAATATGAATTCGAAAATCAGTACGAAAATAATAAAAAATAAAAAAAAATAAAATAAAATAAAAAAAAACGAGTCGCGCGTGCATACGTGCAACGAATAAAAAATAAAATAATCATTCAAATTATTTAATAAGTTAATAAATCACATTCCGTTTTCTTTCTTTCTTTCTTTCTTTCTTTCATATAAAATTAATGTCGGATACTCGTCAAATTTCATTTTCGACTAAACTATTGTGTTGAGTGTCTGAATTTACAGTACATATGAGCCACATTTGTTTTCAAAGTTATAAGCATAACTTTTGTTTCAAATGAAAAATTCATTTAGATTCGTTACATTATTTTCAAAACAGAATCTTAAATATATTTCAATATAAAAACAAACACCACTTTTAACGCGAATAAAAATAAACAAATAAATATAAATAAATTAAAAAAAATAAGACAACCACGTACGACTTATTACGCCCCTCCTCCTCCTCCTCCTCCTCCTCCTCCTCTGACGCAACTCTTAACCACTTGCCCTACGATTTAACTTCACGGTACAATACTACAATATTGCACTTGTCAAAACAATATCATTGAGTTTACTATTATTTTCCATTTTACAATATTGCTATCTATTTACCACGTGTTCACCACGCCTATCGACGTGATGTACACGTCGTTCGCAGTTTTTAAACAAAATCATCTCGACGTGCGTGGCATATCTCTGTAGAGCAAATGGTTAAATATATATATAGATTTCAATGAAAAAATAAATGGACTCATACCACTGTAAAAAATAAAAAAAAGCTCACGTATTAATAATCTAAAAAAGATAATGATTACAAATTTATAATTCCGTGAGCGTGTCGACGGAGGCACGAAGACGCGTTCGATTATTGCAATCACTGGATTCTTTGTTCGTGCTAACTTCGTCCATTCGTGACAATATTTCATCTCTTAGAACTATTAAAACACGACGATCTTGTCGATTTTGAGCAGGTGCAATATGAAGCGCTTCTTGTACGTCAGACATGGCATCCTCAAACAAACCAACGTCAACACGAGCCTTTGCTCGAGCATAAAAAGCTTCGTAAGACGTTGGTCGAACTTTCAGAGCTTCTTCGGCAAGTTCAATGGCTTCTGCTCCTTCCTATAATTAAACAAATTTCATTACAAGATATTAATCGTTATGCTAATCAAATTTAGAACACTCTATATAAACAATTAGATTAATTATCAACAAAATCTTACGTTCATCTTTCGTTTGCACCGACTGAGATTTAGCAAGAAGTTTAATTTCAATTGCGCAAAACTTTGTAGCTGCAACATCATATGATTCTGTTCCTGTCCTTGACAGTCTTCCTCAGGCGAGACTGGGAATTTTTTCAGAGCGTAGGCATATCTATGTGACGCTTCTTTCAAACGACTCTTTCGATAAAGAACATTCCCATCTTCCAAAAGTTTATTTAACAGTATTAACAAGACGTCTGGTTTGCCAGCTGCCATTGCCCAAGTCGCTGGTCCAAGCTTTGCACCACGTCGTAAGAAACATTGAACAACTGGTATGTTACGGCAACCAATTGCTCTGTCCAATGGTCGCATACCGTGTAGATCAACGTGTTCGATAGCTGCTCCTTTTTCCAGTAACAATTGTACGAGTTTTGGATTACCCTAAATTACAAAATCATATTAATAAAGGGTTGACACAGGGCTAGAAGTTCAATCGTCTTTATTTATTTACCTGAAAAGCAGCCAAATCCAAAGGAGTTCTACCAGTGTTGTCGCTCGTATTAACATCAGCATTGTGATCAAGAAGATTTTGTGCACTATTGAGTCTTCCTCTGACACAAGCCCAACAGAGAGCAGTAAGACCTTCGTTGTCTTTAGCTTCGAGTACGGATCCTTTTTCAAAGAACAGTTCAATCAGATTGATATGGCCTTCCGATGCAGCCAACATTAGCGCAGTTCGACCAGCTAGATCGCGTTGATCCAAAAGCGTTAACGCGTCATCGAGCACAGTGTCCGTGCTACTGGATAATGTTCCTTGTAGAAGTCTTTCGGCAGTTCCCCAATGGCCTTCCCTAGCTGCAAGCATCAACGGTGAGAGACCTTTCGCGTTAACAGCCAATGGACTTGCACCACGAGCAAGAAGTGCCGACACTGTTGTGGTTGAACCATTTGCTGCAGCAACAGTCAATGCAGTTTCACCGATCAACGTATCCGGTAAATCGACTATCACTTCGGCCATATCCAACAAATATTCGACTATTGATTCATGGCCTTGAGCAGCAGCAGCTACAACAGCTTGTTGTGCAGCTTCTTCCCTTCGTATCTCTGACGATCCGTTTTCAGCAGTTTTCCCACCGCTGGGAACGAGCCAATCGCATGCCAAGAGATAACCAACTACGGATAATTTACCGTGTCTTGCTGCATGAACCAATGGACACTGTCCTGCCATGTCCACGTGGCCCAGCGATGCTCCGGCTGCGGCTAATCTGTGTATTAATTATTAAATATATTTTTGAAGGACATTTACGATTTTATATTTCTATAGAAAGATAAGAATCTTATAATTCATACCTTCTAACGACATCACAGTGTCCTCGTGCTGCTGCGAGCGATAAGGCAGTGCATCCTTGACTGTTAGTCAGTTCAACATCGGCACCAAATTCCAAAAGAAGTGACACCATCTCGACTGAACCCTCGTGAGCATACATACAAAGTACCGGTGCGTTGCCTAAATATTCTGTGATGTGATTCGGTGATGCTCCTGCCAGCAGAAGCAATCTTGATACTTTTACATTAGGGCTATAAATATTACGTAGCGTGCACAGTGCCGCGGAAACACATTCCGTAGCTGAAGTCAGCCAGATAGCCTAACGAAAGTAAAGATCATATATTAGTTAATACTTATCTTAAGTCATTTGAATTTTAAATTTATTTGAACATATTGTTGACCGATTCACGTATATTTCCATATTTGTAAATGTGAAAAACTTGTGTGTAATTATTATAATACGACATTATATTTACTTGTAAGTCGCGTGAAGGCCAGCATGGAGCGACACCCCTGTAAACGTGAGCTTTCAATATATGATGTCCAAGTTCCAAAGCTTTTTCACCATCCAATGGTGCTTGCAGACGAGATAATCTAAATGCAATAGCAGCATGACCTAGCCTCAAATCGCATAGAAATTTGGTTGATTCGCCTTCGTCTCTTCTCATTAACCACTCCCTGAACGAAGGATGGAAGAACATGTAGGTATTGTCTAGTCGTTTCACGAGAAAGCCAGAGAGCATCTGTTAAAAAACAATAATCTCTCTTATTGTTTATATATTATTTAAGATAAATTACATATACAATTTACGTACCCTTAATATTCATCAGTAATGCATGAATGCATCAATAATATTTATTGTATAATTAACGAGTATAAAAGTGATAGATTTAAATTGTATATACCTTGAATCTCTGCATGAAATCCTCCTCCGAAACGAAGTGATTTGTAGTTAGTGAATTAATGGAATAATAAATTTCTGGCAGTGTCAGTGGATTCAAAGCAGCCAAACACACGCCTAAGAGAGGTTGAACCTTTTCGAACGAGGTCGCTGTAGGAAATCTCAGGTTGAAATGCAATTGGAAGATTTGTGCGAGGGAAACTGGTAGAACCTAAGAAAAGATAGTAATCATTTAGTAGTCACGTTTTTCGAGAAAAAAGAACAAAATATTAAATTCCTTTCTTACTTTGTAACTCGCTGATTTCGCAACGAGATGTCCACTTTCGATGAGATCAAGTGTCAATTTAGCGAATAAGAAACTTCCTTTCGCTAGTGACAACAAATGAGAGGCGAACCTTGTTTGATTAGCGCTAGAAGATGATTCCGTCTTTCCGTTGACGGATGCAGTTACGTTTGTTTGTATTGCTGGACTTTGAGCTAATCTATAACTAATGTAATCGGACAAATCCTTGGTGACGTTGTTACCGGCAACATCGTTTGAAATTTTATCCAAGGAAATCCTCGTGTATGGAAGTTGTTTGCCGCATTCTAATAATTGTGTTCTAACCGTACAGATGACTTTCAACCAACTAGGGAAATTAGGCGCGTGTCTTGTTAAAAATGACGCTATTGTATCACCTCTGTCCGGTCTGTGATATTCTGCCTCGCAAACGGCATCGATGAGAATTACCTGTAAAATATTTAACAAGCAATTATAGATGAGTTCAAGAAAATATTATTATAGAAAGAATTGTGCGAAGGTACGTACCATCGTAGATTCAGGCAATCTGTTAGTTTTCCTTAAAGTTAAGAGCGGTTCGATGATGCCTCTTGAAAGAGCAAGATCCGGATCTACCGTGCATTCTCTTTGCGATAAGGAACCCTGTAGATGTTGTTCGGATAAAAGATACTCTCTATAGGCAATCAGCTGAGGTGCCTGACACAATTGTGCAGCTAACGAGTGAATTAAATCTGGTACTAGACAAGTGCTATTGTTGTCAGCTTGACAAAAGTGATAAGCCACAACGTGAGATGCCAATTCTCGAACCTACGATTCAACCATCATTGTAATCAACCAATTGTCGTTAAAAGTTAAACTGCTTTAGCGAAGGGAATTATTGTAAAAGATTGATTACCTTTTCATTGGTACGTCTTATATTGGATTGAAGAGTGATCGAAGTACTCGATTTGTCTCTTTCCTCGATCTCTTCAGTGATTTCCGGCGGAACCGGTTGCACGCGTCGCCTTCCAAAACAACTGTGCTCTACCAGTTGCAAAACGAGTGCCGTTTTACCGGTACCAGGTGATCCGGATATTAAAATACCAGGACTCGAGCTGTTTATCACGGATGATATTTCGTTGAGGAGCCAGAGACGTCCTGTAAAGAGCGGCTCCGTTTCGAGTAAAGGAACTTCAAAGAATAGTGGCTTGAGTGTCAGTTGTGTGGCATGATGCTGAACGAAGCGTACTAAAAAAGATCGTATCGTAAGATAGGTCTCATTAGGATTAATATTTTGGAAATAAAATAAATGATTACATTTGGGGTCGATGCTTCCCTTGACGTTACTAGCTCTGGCCGATCTTCTGACGCACGTTCGTCTGTTTTTAAATTGGATTACGTCCTCTGTTTGTTGTTGGTTCGTTTGCGAGGCATTAACGGAATGTCTTCTTGGTGCGAGTGGACTCGAACTACCGTTCGAAAGACCGGACACGGAAACAGACATCGACATAGACATCGACGTGGATGCCGATGCCGACGTTGAGATCGAAACCAAACTACCGGCACTGTCGCAATCTCTCGATTTACTTTTTCCTTTGATCTTGCTTTTAGGTTTGTTTGTGCTACGTAAAGCAGCAGCAGCTTCGGTCTCGCTCGAAGTACCGGTCAACGTTGATACTGGACTAGTGTTGGTTGATGCCAAAGTTTGCGTTTCGAAACTCGTTAAACTGCTGAAGGAAGCTGCCGAACTATCGTGGCCTTGCATCGGTGGCCTGAACAAAAAGTGACGATTAAGAATTAATGAAGTTAGTTGCAACAAACATCCTATATAACGAACGGATGTGTTCACCTTTGAATCCCAGAAGTAGCAGCAACTCGATTCGACGCACAGGGAAAATAATTCGATGTGTCAACAACTGAATTATCTCGACCATGATTTCCACCAAGCAATAAACCCAATCTCATATAAAGATCCGATTGCGAGGATTTCCGCGTTTTCGAGGACAATGGTTTGACACAACCACCTTCGTCATCTACAACAACAGGATGAAAAGATCTTTGTTAAATAATAATATTAAAATAAAAATGGTATTTATTAGAAACCGTTGGATGCAACGATCACACCAGGCACGATGCATCACCTAAAAATCTTATTTACAGGTCACGAAAGAAACACAGAGTCGTCGTTCTTCTCTTATCGACACATCGTGCACATCTTGCGTGGGAAAAATCAAATAAAAATAAGAAAATGGTCAATCTTCATGCTGTGAGTATAATCATGCTTCGACAATATTAAATTCATTTCTAACAAAAATGGCATCTATTCATCAGTTGCCCGAAAAAATTCCTGTCGATTTATACTTTTTATAATTTTGCAAAATATCGATTATGAAAAGAATTAGAAAATGAAATTAAATACGCGCTTGTAAATCGGCATGAACTTTCCAGACAATCCAATACTCGTGTAAATTGCGTTCAAGGATTTCATTAATCATTGAACTCTTGGAGCAACCTTTAACGACATTACAGAAACACACGCACACACATAGAGAAGCGCACACTCGTAAGAATAATTCCTGCCTGCGAGTTTATTGGAAGAATCGATTAGTTGATTAAGTCCATCGTTTGCTGTTCCTTGACTGTTGCTCCATAACGATTTGATTTTTCCTAGTACGAGGCCAGGCCATCTTGATTTTCCTTCCCAGGATGATACCATCCATGCTGTACGTATGTGTATTTTATTTAACTCGATGCAAAACTAATTGCGGTTTTAAAGTATCCTTAAGTAAATTAGTATTCATTTACTTAAGGTTTTTATATTATATATTTATTATTTATTTAACATTAAAAAAGGTCACTTATTAACCCTTTAAGAGTTGCACGCTCGAGTTAACTCGAGCGCCGTTGTATTACGTTGAGCCAAAATTGTTCCTCTTAAGGGGTTACATAAAATTTAATTAAAAATTTAATTACTTAATTATTTACTTATAAAAAGGTTATTTATTATATATTTAAAGATTGTACCCTTTACAATCATATATTGCATAATCAATCCTAGATAAAAGTTACATTAAAATAATAAAACCTCAAATTATTTTTGCATTAACTCAACATGATGATAAATGAGTTATAATATTTGTTTTTGAATTCTATTGAATTTGGAATATTTTGTAAAAAAAAAAATAAATTTCGTTTGTTTGATTTTTAATTAAAAGTTCTTAATACCTGATAGTGCGGAAGGATTATCAGTCGTAGGTGGTTCAGGTGAGGACGTTCCGCGTCTCGAGGATCGTTGCGGTCCGAAGGAACTTCTCAATACTTTTGGATTCAAAAAGAATCTTCTTCGTTGATTAGGTGGAGTAGGGCAACCTGAACAATTTCGTAATTACATAAATTTTCATTAAACACCAAGAGTTTGTTTTAATTAAAATTATGTCAAATAAAATATTTCTTTCTGTACGTACTCTGAGTCATTTGAGGTTTCTGTCGAGTATGAGAGTTCAGTGGTGAGTTCATTTTACTTTTTGAACTTTTACCAAGTTCCCCAGGAGAAACGTTGCTAGCCAGATTGTCTCGTTGCTGTAGAATAAGAGAAACTTATAGATATATACATTAGGAATACGTTCAACCTGGAAACATTTATATTTCATTCTCGAAGTTCGCGAGAATGGATGCAACGAATGCATACAAATGCATAAAGTTCATTCGATAGGAATAGAAGAGGCGAAATAGAATGATCAAACATTTAATCTTGGAATGCCCTATAGTTGGACAGCCCTATTCTAAAAGATCCAAATTCCTAAGAGAATTTGCTTACGTGGATTGCTCGGGGCGGTAAATTAGTACGAGTGGTGGTGAGTTTAGTGCGTGGTCTTGGGCTGCCGCAAAGGGAATTGACCGTCGATGAGTCATCGATCCAACCACCGTCCATAGGTAAAAGAGTAGACATTGGTTCGATCGAAGAACCAACAACAAACTCCTCGCCAAAGGGTCCACCTTCAAGGCCTTCCTCTTCTTCTTCTTCTTCTTCTTCTTGGTCGCCATTGAAATCGGCACGTTGATGATCAGCTCGCAAACACAGTGGACAAGCTTCGCTACGGAAAAGGCAGGAATAACATCTTTCGTGGCCGCAGGAATCGATCAGTCGTCGTTTTTTCCCTTTGTCGAAGGGCATCTCGCATGATGGACAAGTCGAACCTCCGAGCATTCCCGTTGATTCTACCAGTGCACGAATTTGCGCCAAGTCTGAAAAACAAATAACATTTTCACATGGATTTTTTAATCCACGGTAGCCAATTTGTGCTTGGTTATTTAATATTACAACATGTAATTAACATTTACAAATATTATGCAAGGAAGAAAGTCGGTGTAATTGTAATGAATAAAAATGTCAATTAATAAGACTTTAAATAATTCTAATGATAATAATATGTGAACGTTCGTTGATATGTAAAATAAGTATAAAGTAGGGTCGCACGTGAGTTAACGAGGTCGAACGCATCACGGAGATCTGAGAGCGTGTTGCAGAAGCGAAACAGACCAAGCGGATAGTCGCAAAGTCACGTTACACGTGGGCTGCTCACTCACGTACGTTACGTGAGTATAGGTAGGTAAGTACGTGAGGGTGATCGTCAAGAGGACAAGCACACGCGAGAGCTCCCGTCATGACCTCACTTTCTAGAATCCTTTAAGTACGCGAGGCGCCTCTTTGAGCCTTCGATTCGCGTCATCCAGCTCGTTTGTCCATTATCGATGAACCAACGCAACCGGCTCTCACGAGCTGCCTATATGCCTATTTCAAATCAACTTTTTTACTTACTTATTACACCCCGTTGAAATATTGTCCCATTAGGAACATAAAAGCCTACAAAGTGTAATCGAGTTTTCAAAAGAAAACAAAACAGAAAAAAAGGTCAATCTTATTATAAACGCAAGGGTCAGGGTGAAGAGTGAGAGGGGTAGGTAGGTAATTCGGGTCTCACGACCTCCTATCCTGGTAAGGTAAGTGCACACAGGTAGGCAGGTGCAATTCCACTCGGGGCTGGCTTACCGTAAGCTAGGTCAACGCACTCAAAGACGTAAAGAGCTCGAAGGAAGTAAGTAAGTACGTCTCGCTTCCGCGCTAAACTTGTCTTTCTCTCTTTCTCTCTCTTTCTTTTTGCACTTAGCCTTTAGCCGTTTCTGTTTCCCTCGTTTTTTACTTTTTTTTTTGTCCTTACGACGCTCCACTGAGTTCAGGACAAAGACGGTGGTAGGAATGAATCGAATGCTCGATGTGTCAAGAAACTTCTTCTGATTTTTCTTTGCTTAGTTGCTACGTTTGATCATATCTCCCCTCTCTTTCTTTGAACACAAGGATGATATGATATTTTGGTAAATAATTGGAATACTTTTGAGAAGGTTTCGTACCTTGGGTAAAAACTGTCATTTTTATTTTCAAATCATTAATTCCAATTTATTAAATTAGAAAATTTATCAATAAAGTTTGAAGAAAGGTATAATTGAAAATTCTTATTGGAGAAGTTACAGTGTAACTCTGTGAAGTTGTTGGTCCAGGTTAAGGAGACTCATTAAATCGGCCACGGAAGGTCTATCCGTCTCTCCTTTCCATCCCTTTTTCTCTTTCTCCTTTCTCGATGTGAACATACTCGGTTACCGTTCGACTCGCTCGAGAGACGACCACGATAAAATACGATGTGGTTCGAGTAGAAGGTGCTGGCTTTGTAAAAACTCAACTTGCGTGAGTTAAAGTCGCGATTAAAACTCATGAGAAAAAGAGATAGATGTACTTATAGATAAATAGATAACGACTAAAAACAACATGAAACTTTTAATCTGATTCTTTGAAAGTTAAAGTTATTCTTGAACCATATTTCGTATGTCGAGTCTAAAGATAGAATTGGTGTTTTACCTTATCAGATCTAATTTCTAAAATTACTTGTTAATTTATGCTAGGGAGATACTGTAATTTGTAACAGTAAATGTTATATTTTGAATGATCATTTTTGTCTAAGGAAAATCTCCTTCAAGATTTGTCAAAAGTTACTTTATCGAGAAAATAAACATTGCAATTGCATTGCATTTATTTTATTTATATTTTATTCAACTCTATAAATACTATGAAGAAAATGTTACTTTTCAAATGGGTGCTGTTGGACGGTATAATAGATTAGGATCGTGTTTATTGTGGCACGTTAATTAGATTCAACTCTAAATTTGTGAAAGGAGATACACCTGTGATCCAAATTTAATGGACTTCCGGTGACTACATTTCCGTTCGATGAACCCCTCTCATTATAGGAAACAGTAACGATTAAGAATCTTGAAGGAGAAGAATTTAAACATTAAATTCATTCGATAGTAGTGGACTCGAGAGTGAGAGAAAGTTAGCCTGCAGACGCTTGCTAGCCTAAGGCTTCGTTCTGCTCTCATCGCAAGTTTTGAGGATGCAACGAGGATAAATCGGTCAGCAGAAAGATCTTTCTTGATAAAACATTTCTAAAAGTTATTCACCCAGTTTTAACTCTTCAGACATTTTACATGATTTATTTATTTATAATTGTATAATAATTAATATATAAAATTAGTAAATTATATAAAAAGAAAATAAATCTATTCCTATGAGAAATAAATTCATCCTGACGAAACTTGTATTCAGATTTCTTGACTATTTATTTAATAAAATCTTGACTAAACAAATAGGAACGATAAGATTAAATATTATCTAAATTTAATAAGAGAAAAATACTTGCTATTTATCGTATTTTAAGTGAAATTTAAAGTTAAGTATTTTAGTTAAGCTTTAGTGGACACGAATATACATACTAGCTTCTAATGAGATTAGCTACGTCCGCGATAGATTAGACTGATTAACCGAGCTAGTCTATCCTCTACGGTTTATCTGAAAAGAGGGCCGAAGCTTACCTGTATGTTTCTAAGAAGATAAAACATACGGCTCACTGCTGTAACACGATAATACTCCGTAGATAAGACGTAACGATACGTGCTTCGAAATCCTACAAAACACGAATGTGAGAAGAAGAAAGAAAGAAAGAAGAAAGAAAGAAGAAAGAAAGAAAGAAAGAAAGAAAGAAAGAAAGAGAGAGAAATTTACCCTTTTCCGGGTGTTACAATATTTTCATTGGCGCCGCAAAGAGGGATCACGGGCCACCACTTAAACGTACACAATTTTTACAATTTTTTTTTCTTCACGAATAAATATACATCAAAAATATAATTGTTCTTAATTTACATCATTCGTGATACAAGTATATATATATAGACAAAAGTAAGAAGAAGAAGTGATGTTGTAGATGTAAAGCAACGGTACTTTAGTTTTCCTATTGTGAGAACAAATCGACCTTACGAACTTTCCTACAACCTGAATTTCGAAGCGTATACTAAGCGAATTATTGTAATTTATTTGTTACGATGCATTTAGTATTGTGCAATGAAATAAAGGAAATACGCGACGCGGCATCCAAAAACACTCATCATTCGACATTATTTTCCATTCCGATTCACGTACAATAATTATTCTAATGAAACGATGACGACGATGATCGATCGATTATTGGAATTATTTATTTCGCATTCTCACTTGACCTTGTCAGTCTGAAATTGATCCGAATTATATCAAAAGAATTTGGTCTAATCATTTTATTCTCTCTCTCTTTTTTTTCATATTATTATTGTAGGTCATATGATTATTTATTAAAAAAAAAAAAAAAATAGATGTGTCCAGATCACACACGGTAGAAGTGAAACCTTCAAAGAAAACCAAGCTTCGAGATGTGAATATATCGAAACAATTAAATTGTAATACAGCGCCATCTATTGAAAGAACCTTACAGAACCTAGATAACCTCTAAATAAAAATCTTTAAATTAGTAATAAAAAATAATAATAATAAAAAAAAAAATTGTGCTATGTGCTAAGTTGGAAAAAATCACACGTAAAATAAAATTAATTTCATGAAGTAGTTTTGGAATTATTAGTGGACAAACATATTGTGACACTGCATTTTTATTTATAGAATTTTATTAATTAATTAAAATTATTTTTGTTTCATCGGTTTCACGTTCTTCCGTTTCACGATTTTCAAATCACCCTGATTCTAAAGAAGTTTTCACTTCCAAAATTAATTAATATTATATTATTTCATTGGAAGGGATGATTATATTCAATAATATACGCGTGCATGTGAAATATTTGATTCGTGATTGGGATTAGATTTTTGTAGGATAGTATCGAAGGGTTAAAAGACTAGAAAAGGAAACCTGTTGGTTACCCCGAACTGCTTTTCTGACTCAGTCAGGAGAGAAGAAGGATGTGTGTTAGAGTTTCCGTAAGTGTGTTGCGTGTGTAACGCGAGTAAGAATAGACGGAGGGTCGAACAGTGACCACCAGTCCTACCAGTCTTGTCTGGTACGTCCATTCTGAGAAACCTGCAACCAAGTTAATAGCCGATACACGCGGGAGAGTAACAAGTCCGTTGGCCTCGTCTAAAGTTCCTTCTGATCTTGCTCGAGATCTGTCTCTTTTTCCCAAAACTACAACCTTCTTATCTTATTTATCATCATCTCGATTACGTTCCAAAGAAACTCAAATAAATCATCCAATTTTTCTCACCAAATTCTTACCAAATTCTCACCATCTATTTTATTGTCAAACATAAATAGAAAGAAGAATCTTTGAAAAATCATTTCTAATAAGTTACAATCAAAAATATTTTTGTCGTTTGTCTTTTTGAAGTGAAAACTCCTTTAGAATGGGGGTGATTTGAAAAAATGAAACGTGGCGCGATTGTAACGCGATGATGAAACGGCCACGATACTAAGTAAGAAGAGAAAAAGAGGCAAACATATAGGATTAAGCCTAAGAGAGAATGAGATAGAATATATCTATACAATTTTTCCTATTCTCTATTATATTCCTTTTATATCCTTTATCTATTCCTTTGTTATATGTGGTAACAATATTATAATAAATAAACCCTAAATTTGTCTACTTTTGATACTGTGCATTCGTCTTATTCTCTCGAAACTTGGTTTTTTCAAGGTTTCACTTCTAACGTGTGTAATCTTCGCACATGTTTTATTTTTCTCTTTTTTTCTTTCTCTTTCTAGATAGATAGATAAATTGAAAGAAAAAACTGAATGAACCGCACAGGAAACGTAATCACAATACTCGTAAAATATACTACGTTACGGTCTGAAAGGTAAGCGTCAATCATCGACATGCGA